GCACTCGTTCATCTCCCCACTCAGAGTACAAGTCATTCAACTCAATGCACTCATTGCATTGCAGGCCTGCCATGAGTCTGCTTCCAGACTTCTGCATTTCTGGTGGTTCTGTGACAACGTACTCAAATGGCTCGACTGTGCTGAACTCATCGCCGAACAACGGCACCGTCAGCACAGAGGCCGCTCTGAAGACGTCCGCATTATTTTCGATGAGGACATCAAGCAAGATGCATTTGACTTGGTCCAGTGTCAATTTGGTGTCGTCTCGGAGCACGGGAATTTTCAGTTGGGAAAGCTCAGAATAGCTGTATGGTCGTTCGTCTCTCAGAAGAGCTATGAGGGGATTATGCACTACAGGTTCGGAAACATCTCGTGCCATCGTGTTTGTCTTTGACGATATCGACTTCTCAAATGCTGCACCGACAATGCGCTGCATGTTATAGCTCGGTTCCGCAGTCACGACAGCCAGTGAGTAGTGCTTTTATGCGCGGCGCCTACCTCTGACCTATCAGATGTGATGCTCAGTCATTGTCTGATTGGCAGATGCGAATTATGGACCACCACGATCCCGCTCACTCAGACTAAGCCAAAGACGTTTACCAATTCCTGGCACAGGCCTCTAAAAACTCGGCTAGAAGGAAACCGTGGGGATTTGTTGTACATGCAGTGAAATGTAACCGTGTTGTGACGTGTGTCTTGCAGCAGTGAAACCACACCTGCCGCGTCCCCAAATCAGTCTGGCTGTTGTAACCATGCAACCTAATCAAACTGACTTTTGTGTGGGTGCATGAATTCGTTTTGGTAATTAACATTCACGCTTAATCACACTCCACACCAAATAGATTTTTTGCGTGATCTCCTGGGGGCCAGTGACTCTTCCCCATCGCATTTATAACTGTTATCTGTCGCCAGTCATTGAATCACTCATGATCACATACAATCACACCCAAATAGCTCGAAGCTGTCGCCATTCTGCTTTCCTTCTCTCGACTCTCCTTTCCTGCTTACGAATTGTTAACTTGCACGAACGACTAGCTCCAACGATGCCCATCGTCGACACCCCAATCTCGTTATTTAACTATGAAACGTGTCACCTGGTAGACGACTTCAGGACACGCGCCTAATATCTTCTGCAAACACATTATGTGATAATATCTACGATATGGCGACTTGACACGTGTGTGTGTGTAAATGCCCAAGGAGCCACATTCATGCCTTCCAGTCTTCCAATTTGCCATCAGAAATCAAGGGTGCCATCAGTTAAAGGCGACGACTGGTCTGAACACGCAATCTAGTCGCATATTTTATGTACCTATTTCCGTGCAAGGTTTAAAATTTTTGATTGGCACTGGTGCCGAGGTGTGCGTTATACGTCCAAGACCCCACAAACGCCACCTAAAAGACTTCGATCGTCAACTTCAGGCCACTAACAACTTGCTCATTGCGACGTATTTTCCAAAGCTGCATCATTTCTATCTACATTGAATTCAGACAAAGTGCACCTGATACACTCGGACCAACCAAGGAAGTGTTTGAGCCTACGCGCCATATGGGCATAATTCGTCCTTTCTACATAACTTAGCTGGGTAATGTGATGACTGGATTGAATGCAAAAACCTGATTAATTCCACAGTTTCTGACTGGTACCGTATTCCTTGGTATTCACGAGTTTTCCTTCTTCCTAAACGGTTTTCAAGTCCATTGGGCATTTGGTTTACCATCAGATGCCTGTGCCCTCGACGACCTTCTTAAAGCTCTCATCAATCCTCTTTTGGGCTATTTGAATTCTCTAGACTCATTGGCCAGGTGATGTTTGGTCCTGAATTTGCCAGTGTCTGTATTGATGACATTCTAGTCGACTGGAAAGACAATGACGAACATGCGCTCACTCAAAATCACGCACACACAAAGGAACGCACTTGGATAGTGTGACGCTAGTATATCGTCTCGTTTACTGGCGCTGTCTCGTCTCTCCTCAAACACTTCATGGTTTCACGATTATTGTTAAGCAGGGCTTCGTGAGGTAGTGCAAAGCAAAGACACTACAGATTGTGCTAGTTGATACTTGGCTCATCGATGATGAGGTAGTGCCAAGTCAATAGTTGTTAGAAACACCACATCCAAGTCGGAAATTTACGAGAGTGCTAATGTCATCTCAACAAGCTACATCAAGTGTATCTCCACAATTTACTTCACAGATGTGGTTTGTACATGTGGCAACCACTGAAGTCTGCTTAGTCTCTTTCCTCTGGCGAGAATGTGGCTGAGGACAACTGACTGACCAACTGCACTGCCATCATCCCCACATCTAGCTGACTTTCCAATCTGTGTTAAAATATCACCAATTTTTGACAATTTGCCAAACCCCAACCCTTGAAGAATCGATTGTCGAGGATACGCATAGAAGTTGCAATTTATGAGTGTGAAAGTGTCCCCTCAACAAGCAGCATCAAGTTCTACTCCACTGTGCAGTTCAAAGGCGTGATTTGCACAATTGGTTAACCAGCAGTTAGGTGAGCGTTCACATGTCGTTGGAGACAGGTTGTGGCTGAAAGTAGTTGTCTGGCCAACTTGGCCACCATCACATCTACATCTAGCTGACATTCTCACCTGCCCTTAGTTATACTTTTCGTCAACTTTGTTTAGTTTGCCAGGGCGTCATATTTGTTCTAATTGGATGAGCAACCAATCAGGTGTGGTTTACAATGCAACCACAGAATGTCACATTTTGTTTCAACTTAAATTAATTGATTATGTTTCAATGATAAATGTGGTTATGAATATGTCCTACACCGTAATTGGGATAATGTGCATTTTGGTCAAAGCGTGGATGTTACTAGGGTGTGTACCGAGTTAAGTGATTCGGTGACAAATCGACGAGATGCACCAAGTTGTATCTTTGTTCATTGAAAATTCTACAACAGTTTTACTAAAATCACATGCTGTGTTTCGGGCCAGTTATAGTTCGAGTGTCTCTAAAAACCCATTGTCTGATAATATCTAGGAGGGATGTCCTTTGATGTCCTTCGACGATTTGTGTCGGCTGATTCTCCTTTCGATTTCGGCTGACGAGGGCTGGAAGGGCCAGAAATAAGAGATTGATTTTTAATACCCAATACCGTGTTGACTTCAGGAGCACTGCGGCCCCCAGTTTCGACCTTTCTGGAGTCATGCAGCACGCTGCTCCAATGTAGGTATTCATCGCGGATATTGTCCAGCGTCACCGAGGGATTTTGATCAATCAAGTGTAGCAGCCGCGTTCGCAGATCCGTGTATTTAGGGATTTGAAGGCTGCATATGAGAATGAGAACCTTGAGCTGGTCATCAGTCATTTATTTGAATTGACTTTTCTCGCACTCTCGATTGACCACTGCTAGATGATCAAGAAAGTCGTCAAACAATCCTTTTGCGAGTTTGGGACATTCGTACCGGGCACTGAATAAGGAGGTGCGTTCTCCAAACATGCTCTTGAGATTTTGAACGGTTTCACCAAAAATGAAGTCGGGAGAAGATTTTGGGAGGATCGTGTCTGTGTATCTTTTCAATTCGGCTGGGCCCAGTTTGCATGTAAGTATCCTGACTTACCACGAGACATCCTGGGAGGCAAGAACGACTCGGAACAGGTTTTGTTAACATTACATTACATTTGGTAACATAACATTGCACTGTTTTTCGGATCATAGGAAATCTCCGAGATGCTGTTACTAAGGCCATCAATTGACGGCGTACTGGCGGAAGCGGCCTGAGACGACTGCCAATCTGCAAGCATTGACACTAGCCGCTCGAGTAAATGTTCCATCCCCTTGTCACTCATCTCACCTGCGTCGCCAAATTTGTTACGTTTGCCCGTAACATTAGAGAAAACTACTCAAATAACGGTACCAGATCCCTAGCTGACTGCTAGAACCGACCTTCTCAGGCTAATACAAGAACAAGACCAGAGCTCGTGCAAAGAGCTGCATTCACGTCAGCCACGTGCAGCGTGCATTCCGGAAGAGAACTAATTCAAGTCAGGTTGACCTTGAGTTGATAAAAAACGTAGCAAAACAAATGTAACTGAATAAATGTAAATAGCATCAGAAACAAATCTTGGGGAATCGTGGATCACCATCACCCGATCAGCTCCATCTGGAATTTATCTTCATTTGTTGACAACACCTAGCGAACATACCGCGGACATCATCAACCAGTTCACCACGGTTTTTCAACCTGAATTAGGACACTGTTCTACGACACAGGCCACCTTTCGCCTTCTGCCGGACGCTAAACCGGTTTTCTGTCTAAATATTCCAACCCCATAAGCATTGTTACCGCTGGTTGAGGCCGAGGTAGAACGTCTTGAACACGAAGGCGTCCAATCCCCGGTCTCCTATTCAGACTGGGCGGCCCTAATCCTTGTGGTATAGAAGGCCAATGGTTCAATCTGGATATGCGTAGACTTCTCCACTGGTCTAAATGCAGATCTGGAACCACATCACTACCCTCGGCCAGCCCCAGAGCACCTATTCACAATTCTGAGTGGCGGAAAATACTTCGCAAATCTCGATCTGGCCGAAATCTGCCTACAACTAGAAGTCTCTTTAGAGTCCCGTATAATACTGTCCACCAATACCCATCACATTTTATTCCAGTAAAACCGCCTTCCCTTCGGAGTCAAGACCGCTCCTGCTAATTTTAAACAGTTTATGGACACCATTCTGGCCGGCATTCTTAAAGTCGCAGCATACCTCGACGACCTATTAATCGTAGCTAGTTCGCAAGACGAGTCACGCAATCGGATCGAAGAAGTCCTCCAACGGATTCAGGACAACGGACTCAGACTTCACTAGGATAAATGTGAGTTTTTCCTGACTTCATTAAATTATCTGGGTTTTACCTTTAGCGCCTGCGGCTTACATTCGGACCCTGAGAATATCCGGGCTATTCAACAAATGCCGACTCCTAAAGATGTTCCCTTTACTGTGCTCGTTCTTGGGACTAATCAGCTATTACTCGGCTTTTCTACCGTCGATGCACAATGTCCGATCACCACTGAATCAATTACATGGAAAGGACGTACCTTGGGTTTGGTCCAACGAGTGCGAAGAGGCCTTCTGTCAACTCATATCAATGCTCAGTTCGAAACTGTTGCCGACCCATTTTAATTCAATTCTACCGATTGCAGCTGCAGCTGACGCCTCTGCCAAGTACATCGGAGATACCATCCTCCGCGTATTTCTCGACGGCACATCCAGGTCGCTGACAGCGACAGAACAGCGTTATGGACAGATTGAGAAAGAAGCTCTCGCTTTGGTTTTCGCCGTCCGCCGGTTCCACAAATTCATTTATGGCCGACAATTCACTCTGCTGACAGACCACAAGCCGGTGCTATCAATTTTTGGATCTAAAACAGGCATCCCAGCTCACTCCGCGAACCGCCTGCAAAGATGGGCACTTATCCTACTGGGATACGACTTCGAAATCCAATACCGTCGCACAGAGGATTTTGGGCAGGCAGACGCCCTATCACGGCTCATCAGTAACCAGCCCACAACCAAGGAAAATGTCGTCATCGCAGCCATCTACGTTGACGATGGTATTACTCAGCAGATATCTCAAACGGTTCGTGCGCTGCCGGTTTCATTTCTCGACATCAAACGGGAAACGGCCTCGGACAACACACTACGGCAGGCAATCCGTTAAGTCCAGGGCAAATGGCCAAAACGTCCCCCTCCCCACAGGAGATCTCTAGCAGTTGTCCTAGAGTTGCGATTCTCTCTGCGTTACAGACGGCTGTTTGATGTTCGGAGAACGCTTTGTGGTGCCAAATCACTGCGCCTGCGGGTTCTTCGTCAATTTCATACTGGTCATCCCGGGATAGGTCGCATGAAGTCTATCGCCAAATATGAATTAGCAAATCGCAGACCTAGTCAATAGTTTGCGCCAGTACCAGCAGGCTGCCAAGGACCCTTGTAAGGTTCCTTCAGCCCCTTGACCACAACCGCAAACGCCCTGCTCACGGATCCAAATTGACTTTGCGGGACCGATCAACGGTGTCTCGCACCTTTTGCTGCAAGACGCCTACTCAGAATGACCGGAGATCGTCCCAATGACTTCTTCCATAACAACGAGAACATTACAGTTTCTCTATCAGATTTTCCGCCGCCATGGGATTTCAGAAACCATTGTCTCGGACAACGGATCACAGTTCACATCTCAACAATTCAAGGAATTCTGCCAAAAGCATGCTATTACATGGATACATCCCCTGCCCCACCACCCGCAATCTAACGGACAGTCGGAAAGGTGCGTCGACACATTAAAGGACACTCGTTACAACAAACACGAACAAATTGTTCCTAAGCAGTTTGCAAGGAAAACTGCCCACTGTTTCTCTCGGAATAGTGGCTCTGTGACAACGTACTCAAATGGCTCGACTTTGCTGAACTCATCGCCGAACAGCGGCACCGTCAGCACAGAGGCCGCTCTGAAAACGTCCGCATCATTGTTAATGAGAACATCAAGCAGGATGCATTTGACTTGGTCTAGTGTCAAGTTAGTGTTGTCTGGGAGGACGGGAATTTTTAGTGTGGAAAGAGCAGAATAGCTGTATGGTGGTGGTGGTGTTTGGAAGAATTAAGAAAATGAGGAATTAATATGTTCAATCATAGCAGGGTCTATTTTCACCGTGTTTGCCATTGATGATATTGAGTTTTCTAATGCAAAAGAGAAAATACGCTGCATGTTGTAGCTCGAACCCACAGTCACGACAGCCAGTGAGTGGTGCTTGGATGTGCGGCGCCAGACACTGACCTATCAGATGTGATGCTCAGTTATCGGCTGATTGGCAGATGCGAATTCTGGACCACCACGATCTCTCTTACCCGAAATGAGGCAGTGAGCGCGAACTCTGATCGTGGCGCTAGGCACCCACCACAAGACGATTACCATTTACCCCCACAGACCTGTGAATGGAAAGTGAGACGGAAACCGTGGGGATTCGTGGCACAGGCAGTGAAATGTAACCGTGTTGTGACGAGTGTCTGGTAGGTATTAAAACACAATTTCTGCGTCCTAAAATCAATTTCGCTGTTGTGCATCCATTAGCAATCAGATAATTGCCTGCTAATTTCGCCAAGTACTCTTTTTTTGTTGCACGTTGTTGCCCAAAGATTATGATTCTGGAATTATTGACTTACTTGAACAGTGCCAACTGTGTTAATCGATGACAATTTGGAAGCAACTGATCTTGCATGAATGACCAGCTCGATTGACACGCTTGATAGCTCAATTCGGTTACAATCATAGGCAAAATAAAATTCTGCAAGCACAAATGCACCAACGTTAACCAAGAGATCAGACGTGTCGTTGGAGAAACTTGCTGAAAAGGCTGACAAAACTCACAAGTGTTTCTTTCATGTACTTGGAACTGAAATTACCTTCTCAGGTGGTACAATAAACACGAACAACTTGTGTTTAATTTGGTTGCACGAAAACGTGCCCACCGTCTCACTGAGAATAGAGGCTTTATCGTCTATGCAGCCACACCTGGCACAATCCCAGCTTCACGTCACAGCCAATCGAGTCAGGCCAAGAAGCGCTCTGATGCAGGTTGGTATCATCGTTTCTATGGCGACAAGACGTGTTTGTAAGATTTCATGCAGCCAACCTATGGCTTTAAGCAATGTCATTTAATTTCTACACGGGTTAATATTCACCGGCAAATACTTGGCGTTGATTTCCCTTCCATGTCTATCTACTGATAGATGTGGCAAAGGGTGAGCTCAGTGACTCAAATGCCGCACTATCAGTTCATGATATGCCTGCTTCAGTGCATTCTCCGTATACTCTGTTAAGACGCCATATCTCACAAACTGCCCATCAAAGCTCAAGTCGGTGGAAGGACAGAGAGTCAACCGTTAATTCGAAAACTTGACGAAGGTGTGCGTGGAATAACAAGTGCTTTAGTATAGATTCGCCAAGCATCAATCCTTGAGCAGGCAGAGTTACATAAAGTGAACTCACGAACATCGCTTGAATAGTATTTGCTCAGGCTTGCCAACTACGTTCGCCCATGACTGATAACTGTGCTCGCCACAACGCCAAATGGCATTGCACAAATTTAACAGCTTTGAGCAACTCTTGAAGGATTTCCCTGAAATTATCGAAGTGGTCCAGGTGCACTGCAAGCCTACTCGTCAAATTAGTCAATTTATCGTGAATTGAGGTCAGCCAATATGCCCCGATTCCAGACAAATTGCACCTGATACACATGGACCAGCCAAGGAAGAGTTTGAACATGTATGCTGGCATGGCATATATCGTTCTTTCTACAGGCCATCAGTGGCCCCTCTACACAAGATACCTTGAACATCCAGTGTTGTTTGTCGAGGCTTGTCACACTTAATCACTTACAGACTTTTGTTCTACCAAAGACACCGTATCATTGTTTCAGCGCATAAATTCAACCCACGTGGAGCCCTTACATTCTGCTTCTCACGGACTAGACACCAAACGGTCTTATTTAAAACGATTTCGTCTAATGGCTACACTCTCGTCTATAAAATTACTCTCGCAGTTAGACGGCGTCAGTTTAATTACTTGGTTAACCGGCGTGATGTGGATAAGGCTGCAATTACCGCTCTCGTGAAATGCGTCATGTACCTGGAATCGTGAGAGACGCATTCTGATGGTTAAACATCACGCCACATGCTTGCTTGTGCATCTCAGTAGCTTTCTTGCTTTAATCGATAGGCATGTTATCTAGTCAACTGTCAAGAGATATGCGTTAATGAAAATAAACATTACAAGCCTAACAAACTCCAACAGCTTTCATGTTTCCTTGGAAACAAACCACAGGTTTTGGCTGAATCGAGCACTGAGAAATCACAGAGAGAACATTTGTCCAGAGATCCAACTTAACTGAACCTTCACCACTTGACGACTTGTTACCCAGTGCCTGTTACTACATTAGCAAGCCGGTCAAACTACGCATTATCTGCATCTCTTAACTTGTGTTGCATTTCTTCATTGGTGCATAGCGCAGTATTTCCCAACAGCAAATTGGTAACGGTGTACAAGGAATGAAATTCTTGACCTGGGTAGATGCCTTCCACGACGAACGTGATTGGTTATGCTTTTAATTCGATTAAAAATGACAGTTAGCGCAACTTCGGCAATGTCTGTCCTGGCGACTAAAAAATCATCAATACAGACAATCGACATGAACACCGTTTAAGAACATAAAAAAAATCGTAGATGCGAGGAATACGGTACTCGTCAGAAACTGTGGCATTGTTCACAGTTTAGTATTCGAAGGTTTGAATGCGGCTTCTTGGCTATTTGCACACACACATGTTTAAAGTCGCCACATCCAAGATATTATCACATAATGGGTTTGTAGGAGATATTTGGACTATAACTGGCGGAAAACACAGCCATCGACACTGGTTGCTCCAGTCAGGTGGCGCATGTGCTGAGGTAGTCTGGATGTAACCCGTCAAATAGTTCAACAACCAGATGGAGGTGTCGACGATGGGCATCGTTAGAGCTGGTCGTTCGTGCAAGTTAACAATCCGTTAGCAGGAAAGGAGAGAGGAGAGAAGGAAAGCAGGCTGGCGACAGCGTCGAGCAATTCATGAATGTCTGTATGTCATCATGAGTGATTCGATGACTGACAACAGATAACAGTTATCAATGCAATGAGAGATCAGGCAACAGGCTTCACTCACACGTGATCGCTGAGTTTCTGCGAAAATTCTATTTTGTGTGAAGAGTGATTAGGCGTGAGTGTTGATTACCAAAACGAATTTCTGCACCCACACGAACGTCAGTTCGATTAGGTTACATTGTTGCAACAGCTAGATTGATTTAGGGACGTGGCAGTTGTGGTTCTTGCATCTACTAGACACACGTCACAACTCGGTTACATTTCACTGTATGTCTAAGAAATCCCCAGGGTTTCCTTCTCACTGTCCACCTACAGGCATGTGACAGGAATTGGAAAGCGTCTCGCGTTGGATGCCCGGTGCCACAAACAGAGCTCACTCTCACTAGCTCAGTCTGAGTGAGCGAGATCGTGGTGGTCCTGGATTTGTAAATGCTAATCAGCAAATGAAGGAGCATCACTTCCAAACGCCACTCACTGGCTGTCGTGACTGGATTCGAGTTAAAACACATCGCGCATTGCCTGTGCTGCATTAGAGAAGTCGATATCGTCGAAGACAAACACGATGGCACGAGATGTTTCTCAACATGAAATACCTACTTCGCTCATTGCTCTACAAAGAGACGAACGACCATACAGCTATTCTGAGCTCTCCACACTGAAAATCCCTGTGCTCCCAGATGACACCAAATTGACACTGGACCAAGTCAAATGCATCTTGCTGGATGTCATCATCAACAATCATGCAAACGTTTTCAGAGCGGCCTCTGTGTTGACCGTACCGTTGTTCGGTGATGAATTCAGCAAAGTCGAACCATTTGAGTACGTTGTCAAAGAGCCACCAGAATTGCAGAAGTCTGGAACCAGACTCATGGCAGGCCTACAATGCAATGAGTGCATTGAATTGAATGACTTATATTCTGAGTGGGGAGATGAACGAGTGCAGGCTCAGATAATCGCAAATACCGCTTTGTTAGCTGTGCTCACGAGCCCGTATGTAGTAGCCGCGTCTTCGTTGAAATTTCCATCCTGGACTCCCCGGACCTGGCCAATGTTACAAATCGTCAAATGCAAACCTTTTGAGCCTGTTGATGGGGATTTGCTGAAATTGATGTGGGTGAAAATAAGGCGAGATTATTTTCAGTGGGAAATGGGAGGGGTGGTTTCTCGTGTGATTGCCCAGAGATGTGTATGTTATTTCCACAGACGTGATCTTCACCCACATGACGCCGTCAAGGACGAGGCATTTCGTTGTATGAACTTAGGAGTGTCCTTCGCTCAGTTCACCGCTTACACCACGTTGATGGACTTCTTGAAGACGAAGGGCAAAACGCTTTCGGACTTGTACGAGTTGATTCCTGCTCCCTTTATTGCCAACTTCAAAGAAGCAGTTGAGCGTCGACGCAGTGATCTGGAGGCGTCGCCTTGTTGGTATCGCTACTGCCACGCACTGAATGCTGGTTTTGTTCGTGAATTTTCCATTCACGGTTGTCAAGATATTGCTTATTTTGGCATAGCTATTAAGGCTCTGTCGAAGAATGTGAATGCTACCGTAGGAGATGTTGCTGGTGTTCGACTTTCGGAAGAGATGAAGAAGGAATTGTGCGAGCACGCGAAAATTGTCGTTAGGGCATGGCACACCTGGAGACGTCGCGGACAACCGACAAGGCACACACCCAATGCGTCCATGGAGCACGCGCCATAGCGGCAGCTTTTCTCGCTGTCACCGCCTCCTCAAAAGGACCGTTGACTTGATTTATTGTAAATCCAGTTATATTACATTTTGACAATTGTTAGCTGTTCTGTTCGTTGGAAGCAATTTGAAATGTATGAAGCATTAAAATCGCTACCGATTTACCCAACATGATATTCCGTGGTTTGTGCATTAGAAGGGCCGTGGTTTCACAGGGGAAACTGTTTGTTTGCAAAATTCGGTGTAGTTAGAACGCTTGAAATGAAGGTGGTGTTGGCATTTCTGAGTAATTGACCAACGACATGGAGGTTTACTATGCTTTTCTCTTTAATTCCCACAAAATGTAATTTCGTCTTGGTATGGACCACAATGATTAGAACCTGGGCGCATCCGGATGTGAGATCTGGCAATTTCTTCCTAAGAATCCTGTGATGGCAGTTACAGCTGTCTGGGCAAACATTTACTACTAACACCTAGATAGTAATGATTTCTTACTGCAAGCATTGGCGTTCGAAAGCCGAGTTCGACGGTACCTGGAATCGTGAGAGACGCATTCTGATGGTTAAACATCACGCCACATGCCTGCTCGTGCATCTCAGTAGCTTTCTTGCTTTAATCGATAGGCATGTTATCTAGTCAACTGTCAAGAGATATGCGTTAATGAAAATAAACATTACATGTCTAACAAACTCCAACAGCTTTCATGTTTCCTTGGAAACAAACCACAAGTTTTGGCTGAATCGAGCACTGAGAAATCACAGAGAGAACATTTGTCCAGAGATCCACCTTAACTGAACCTTCATCACTTGACGACTTTGTTGAGGGCCCCGGCATGTTGTCCTGAACCACGCCGGGGCCACTGCGACTATCTAGGCCGTATACGTTACCCTGA